AAGGAAGGAAGGAAGGAAGGAAGGAAGGAAGGAAGGAAGGAAGGAAGGAAGCAAACCCCCAGAAAATAGCGAACTTTTCTTACTCTAGTGGTTCCCTGGCACCATTTTGCTTTATTAGCTTGTCAATCATCACCTAGAGAGTCTAGAGTAACTTAAAACCAGCACTAGATAAGGCGTGATCAGTACTAAGTCACAAGACATATTTCACTTGCTTTCGTATACATACAGAATAATGGGGGACACGATTGCAAAGGCATTAGAAAACCATGCCCTGAAGAGAGGAAGGTTCAGTTGTAAACCTGCCAACTGCACATTCTGTGGGTGTGCACATGGAAAGAACCAACCAGCAACTTCACCCATTCCACTGAAGCAAAGAGAATGAGTAGGAGCAGACTCAGGAGTGGTTCTTAGCAGATGACAGCTAAAGCCTAGGATTAAATAGCGCCTCAGAAGAAATATTAAGTATGAAAAGCTATTAATAGAACACTAGGCAAAATCAGCCTCTGAACACTGACCATGAACAGAGGCACAGCTACAGAAGAAGAACTAGGAAAGTTCAGAGATACAAACATCAGTGGAAGAGCTTTAAGGACTAGAAACAGACAAATGAGGTAAGTATGAAAGATCCCTCTGAATTGGACTATGATCAGTACATAGTCAAGCTGAGACTGGATTCCAGGCCCCAATCTCAAGATAACAAGATCCTAATATTAATTATTCATATATTAAAATTGGGGAAGGGGGATAAAATAAAGGCACATTTACAACTTAATTACAAAGACACACACACATACAAGGAAGAGAATAGAGAAACCACAAACTTCAATACAGCCTTTGGGTATGCTTTCGTAGACAACACCCATGAGATAAACAGGGCTGACAATGGAAATGGGTTGAGAAACCAAGTAGAACGGCTATTTAAATTAGATCTGAGAATATGGCCAACTTGTTGGAAAACCTTGTAGATGATTAAGAAAATTGCAAAGATGAAGTAAGCATGACGTGAGGAGTGCACCTCTGGGAAAGGGAAGCCGCATCCGGCATCCAGAGTTATACCTCTTCTAAACCTCCAGTCATCTTCTCCTTGAATATCCTGGTGGCTTGACTGTTGCTTACAAACGTAAGATGCTTGACACTGTAAGCTCTTTCGGTCACCTTCTGCTTTGACAAGCTGTGTGCGCAGTTCTTCCACCTAAAAGCAATTTTAGTCAAAAACCAAACTGTTACCAATGTTCAAAAGCAGAAAACAAAGAAACTTACAGACTGCTATAAACTGTGACCTGGGGAAAAATTCCACTTCTAGTGGGCTATTGGAGTACAAGCTACAGACAGTTTAATGCCTGGACTATCCCACACACAGTGGAACAGGCTTCCATCCCATGCTTTTCACTCTTCCATTACTTTCAAAGGAACGTCTTTTCCTTCCCTGTGTCCATAATGACAAACAACTTCAACATCTCTTAGTTTTTCCTCTCTAGTTCTGGGAATTTAACCCAAAACTTTTTTTGAGGAAGACAAGAGTGCTACTACTGAACAGCACTTTGAATAAGAATGGCCCCACAAGCATTTATATATTTGAATGCTTAGAAGTGGCATTAGAAGTAGTGGCTTCCTTGGGGTAGGATGCTTTTGGAGGAAGGATGTCACTAGGGGTGAGCTTTGGGGTTTAAAATGCTCAAGCCAGGCCCAGTGTCTCTCTCTTCCTATTGCCCTTTGGTCTGGATAGATAACCCTCAGCTACTTCTCTATACCATGTATGACTGCATGTTGCATTGCTTCCTGCAATGATGACAATGGACTAACCCTCTGAAAAAACATAAGTAGGCCCCAATTAGATGCTTTCCTTTATAAGACTTGCTATGGCCATGGTGTCTCTACACAGCAATAGAACACTGACTAAGACACTAGTGTAACTACATTTTAATTTTTTGAATTTTTCTTTTCAGGCAGGCTTTTCTTATATTCCAGGTTAGCTTCTAGCCACAGTTCTCTGCCTCAGCCTTCTGAGTTCTGAGATTACAGGCATGTGCAATCATATTTGGCTCAAATACAAGTGTATTTGACCTCAGATCACCCCATTACTATTTTTCACCTCTAACCTATTTTATAATATTCATTTGTTTTCTTTCATGGCAACATGCTCTGCTGGTGATTGACCTCAAATGAGGAGATCATGACTTAACACATTATGATATTAAAATAGACCTCAGAAAAGCAGTAGACCACTGAACTGTAAGCTTCTGAAGCCATGGGCTGCCTGGCAAATTTTCTACCATATAACAAATACATCCCTATCAATCATAATCAAGTTAGCAAAGGAAAAACAATTTGGCTAAAGTCACAAAGACCTGCATCAAAACCTGCAATTAAAGATTACAAATTGGCACTTAAAAATATAAGATGTTGCCAAGTTAAAAAAAAAAAAAATGACGACAGCATGGAATTAAATACCAACATCAAGAAACAAATTCTTAATTTTGTGAACATTAGTTCTTTGTGACCACTGACTACAGAACAAAGTCAATTAATGTTTTAAAGGCTCTGCAAAGAAGGTGCCATTTTCAGTACCACTGTGGGGATGCAGAGTGACTTATGAACACCTACGACAACAGACACCCTGGCCTGCAGAGCATATCATGTAGTTGAGATATGAAACCACATTGACAAACAGGAGGCACATTCTGATTTAGTGAACACAGGGAGAGAGGCTGTTAGGTACACATCCACCCTTATTGGGTACATGTAAAATAACCATTTAAAGTTCTCAACTTTAGATATCAAAAGCCCCCAACTGCTATTAGGGCTTTGGACTATAAAACATTACACCTAAAGAGTAAGCATCAGCTCTGGTTAAAAGGAGCCGGGCAGCATCTTGACAACAAAAGCAAAGGCGGTGATATATTCAAAGTAACTCAAAGATGCAAAGGTCTGTCCAATATATTTTCTGATTCCTCTCTTCAGTATATTTTCTCCTTCCTCCTTCTTCTCCAATGCCTCCTTGAATAAAATTAAGCTCCCGGGAAGTTTTATCTTACACATCCATGCACTTGTACACTGTTCTGCTGAGAGAGATAAGTTGTAATTTAGAGCAGCAGTCAGCAAAAGACATTGTCACAGCAGAGACCGGGTCTGGCTTTTCTACAAGCTCTCCGAATCTTTATTTCTGTATTCTCTGCTAACATACATGCCCTAGGAGAAAAAATTCTAGATCTAGCTCTTTTTTCCCTCTCACAAAAACATGTGAAAGAGGAGACTCAATCCAGATTTAATAAAACAGCAGACTGTCTTAGTTTGATACACTCACCTGATGCAAAAGTGTTTCTCTGGTGCCTTCAGACTGAGTCAGCAGCTTCCGCGAGAGCTCCAATTCCTTTTCCAGCTGGAGTTTCAACAAGATAAAAACATGTAAAATGAGGCATAAAATAACTATGGAATAAAATAACTATGGGCCAATGGAAGCTATTGTGCTGTTTTCTTCTTAAATTGTGGCCCATTGGGTGGGATGGGCATTTCACCATAAACACACATTTAACTTCCATTAAAAGTATATTAATTAGCTAACAAAAAGGGAGCTACATAAAGCTTCCTAAAGGTCTGAGACCTAATCAGTTTCATCTCAGCTATGATCCCAGCCTCCTACCCCCACCACGAGCTCAACTCATCTCTAAAATACTCGTTTTTACTAGTCTCTTGAGATCACCATCCAGTTCTTAATAATGCTGATAGAACTCTAAACCAGGGAGCTGGAGAGATGGCTGAGTGGTTAAGAACATTAGCTGCTCTTCCAGAGGACCCTGGTTCAATTCCCAGCACCCACATTGCAGCTCACAACTATCTGGTCTGTCACTGAAATTCCAGTGGATCCTACTTTATATATGCTAAACTTGTTTACATTTTAAAACATAAAGTAGCATCAAAAATTTGTTTTAAGGTACATTTAAGTGCTTAAAATGTGTAGGTCATCTTAAATAATCATCTCACTAAACAAACGACCATGTTCAGCAGCTGCATGAACAGTAGGTGTGCATGACAAGGACCCTGAGGCGGCCTCAGGGCACAGGCAGTAGGATTTACAGAAGGTCAAAATGACTGAAAGTGTTCACATGCACCCAAGCCCATGGACAGCTGCACACAAAGCAAGTGAGGCCTGTACAACCACTGTGGCTCTGACCACTGTCAATCTCATGTTTGACAGTCAACAGCGATTACATTAAAAACATTCCCTTTGACAGAGACAAGGTGAACGGTACAAGAGACTTCTCTATACATTGTTTTGAAACATCCTACGAATTCTGTAACTACTTCCCTGTGGACTCTGGTGTATGAGTGTGTGTGTGTACACAAGGGTGTATGTGTGTGTACATGTGTTTGTACCCTTGTAAACATGCACCTTAACATCAAAGGCCAGCATCATTATTAAGGTATAAGCAGATACCTTAATCACTTGCCACCTTGTTTTGTTGAGACAAGGTCTCTCACTAAATGATAGAGCTCTCCATTCAGCTAGAATGGCTGGCCAGCAAACCCTCACGCCTCTCCAGCACTAGGATTACTGGGGTGACCCATCATGCTAGGCTTTGATTTGGGTGCTACAGGTACAAGTCTGGGCCCTTGTGTTTCTGTGGCAAACCCTTTACTGACCCCACCTTTCTAGTCACCAAAATAATTTATTCATTTATATAATAATTCTTTAAAATTATTCTTGTAGCTGGTAAAATAAATGTATAAAAACAAAGTGCCACCAGGCCCATAAAAAAACATTATTGTTCTCTTGATCTTATGATGAAATAAAGAAGGAAAGAAAACCACCCTTCAGTGGACATGGCTTTGAAGTCAAGCTAGCCCCTACTGGTCAGACACTCACTCTAATGTCAACAGTTGCAATTCCCAAGTGGCTAACCCAATAGCCTAACATACCATCCTCACACAAAGGTGGTTTGGAAGCAAGATTAATGTCTACAGAGAAAAGTGAGATCTTTCAGGAGGTGAGGGAACTTTCCTCCAAAGGTCCTTATATTGGGCTTTTCCCTAAAACTACTTATCTGAAAACTAAGATGTTATTTACCTCTGAATCACATTGTGGAGCTAAGGTTCTGACCTCTGTGTATTCACAGAGTGGTATCTAACAAAGGTCCTTAGCATCTAATGAGAATACAGGCTGTGGTGGTTTGAGTAAGAATGGTTCCCATAGGCTCATATATTTGAATGCATAGTCAACAGGGAATGGAACTCTTTGAAAGGATTAGAAGGATTAAGAGTTGTGACCCTGTTGAAGTAGATGTGGCTTTGCTAGAAGAAGTGTGTCACCCAGGGTGGGCTTAGAGGTTTCAAAGGCCCATGCTAAGCCCAGTGTCTCTGTACCTACAGATAAAGATGTAGAACTCTCATCTACAACTACAGTGCTTACCTGCATGTCACCATGCTCCCTGCCATGATAATAATGGACCCTCTAAAGCTATAAACAAGTCCTTAATAAAATACTTTATTTTATAAGAGTTGCCTTGGTCATTGTGTCTCTTTACAGCAATAAAACACTGACTGAGTCAGAGGATATTTTAAACCTGGGCTGCTAACTATACCTATCTATTATAAAAAATAAATAAATAAATCTATACAATATGTCTAGCCTTCACACAGTGGATCTTTCCTAACTAACCTGCAACAGTCAAGTTTTTCAGCCTTCTCAGTAAAGAAAGGGAAAGCTTATTCACCTCTTGGAAAGGAGAGAAATCTAGGATGATGTGAGAGCAAATGGCCTGAGCATGCTTTCAAGAGTGAAGCTAGAGTCATCAGCCACCAAATTTCAAAGCATGAAGGCATCACTGTGTTCTATTAAATGATCTTAGTGACACTTTTCATGGTATTCAACAAGTACCAATGACCCCCAACTACCATACTGATCAAAAGATAACTTTCAAGGTCTTACTTGGCTCTTCTCAGTTTCAGTTTGTCGAAGCCTGGTTTTCAGTACATTCTCATTCTCATCTGATTTAGTTTCCTGTTTCTTCAGCGCCTACAATGAAAGCAAACGAAAATACTGTATTATCCTAGCATATGCACAAAGCTCAAAGCTACCACTAGGTTACATTGAGGCAGGACCCAACAAAATACTGAATTGCACAAAATCTGTAAGTAACTTCCAGTCTTTTCATTCACAGAAGCCCTAGCAACACTTCAGAGAGGATCACATACAAAGCCCTGATCTCTCAAATCATTCCCACTGGTTTCATCTTTATCTTTATCTTTGGGAACACAGTTACTACATACTTAGAGAGGCTAGCCTGCTAAAAATTTGGTACCAAAGCTTACTGCACCTCAAAGTAATCCTCTTGAAGGTTGTTTTAGTGTTCTGTTGCTGTGAAGAGACACCACGACCAAGGCAACTCTTATAAAAGAAAGAATTTCAGTACGACTTGCTTACAGTTTCAAAGATCTAATCCACAATCATAATGACAGGGAACACGGTGGTACACATGGCGCTGGAGATGTGGCTGATGCAAGCTGACAGAAAGAAAGGAAGAAACTGTGCCTGGCTTGGGATTTTGAAAGCTCAAAGCCCACCTCCAGCGACACACTTCCTCCAACAAGGCCACACCGCCTAATCCTTCCAGTCCTTACTAACACTTCCCCTCCCTGGGGACTAAGCATTCAAATATATGAGCCTATGGGGGCCATTCTTATTCAAATCACTATAAAGGGTGATGTGATCTGCTGGATTGGGACAAAATATCATAAAATAGTCTTTTTCATATTCCAAAAGCACAACATCTCTGACATCCACGATGGCCATTGCATCACCATTATGCAAATTATACTTACACAAAACATGATAGACCATTAAAATTCTACTCTACCTGGAGAAATATATACATTCTTATTTAGTTTCCCCTCTTTAGTGATAAAAGAAGCTTAAAGAAAGTTCTTTCAAAGGCTAACCACAAAAATGTGTGCCTGGATTTGTTTCAATATCAAAAAGAAAATTAAACAAGGGGAAAGAACTGAAAACAGACTTTCCTAATATCTAAATGGCATTCTGTTCAAATAAGGAAAAAAAAATTATTTGACCACTTAGCACTTACATTTAGCAAGGTATATGTAAAGGTAATACAAATCAAGGAAATGCAAACTATCTAAGGTATTTTCCAATAAGGCAGCAAAAAATAAGTAAATATGGTTAAAAATCGACTTCAGTGTAAATATGCTACCATAATCCATTTGATTAACCTACACATTCAAACACATCTTAAATCTACTTCCTGTGTGTCAAGCACTGTTCTGGAAGTTACTACAGTACATAGGTGTAAAATACACATGGCCCCACAGCCCAATAAATAAGCTCCCTTCACCATGGTTTCTCCTCTCACTAAGTAGTAAAACACCATGAAGGGACAAAGGCAGAGAAGCTTTATCAAAATAAGAAGTAGTTTGCTGTAATAATAAACACTTTGTTGGTGATCAATGTATTTAGGAATTTTTTTTTTTAAATACTCAATGCATTACATATATTTAAAGGCCATGTTAATCTTCATGATAATCCTGTTATAAAGCTTATTTTATCATCAGAATACTGAGACATAAAGAACTAAATAACTAGCCAGGTGTGGTGGCCCAGGTCTGTAATCTCAGCACTCGGGGAGGCTGAGGCAGGCAGATCTCCGTGAGTTCCAGGCCAGCCTGGTCTACAAAATGAGTCCAGGACAGCCAAGACTATACAAAGAAACCCTGTCTCAGGGAAAAAAAAAAAAAAAAAACAAAAAAACCTAAACAGCTTGCTCAAGAATACTCTCCTAGTTAATGACAGAGAAAATGAGATTCAGACAGCCTGCCATTTAACCACTGAATGATACTGCCTTTTCCATCGTGTCAGTATCTATCTGATAGGATTGTGGTGCAATCTAGTTGATATTCATGAACATATAAATCAATGCTCAGCATATAACAAATATACAATAACATCTAGAAAGCATTATTTTTTGATTACTGAGAACAATGAAGTATTAAAATTATAATGCCTTTCAGGTAACAATCAAATTACTTTAATGTATGATATTTGTTCTTTATTGTAGGACAAATGAAATTTGAAACAATATTTAATTCCACATATATAATGTATTCAGTTTTGGCTGAATACAATATAAATGTTTCATGAACAAAATCTTAAAAATCTGAAAATTGTTATTGGCATCCTTATCTTTTCCATGATTCCTCAAACTCTTCCCCAGTCTCAGCCTCAGACTCTCTCTCTCTCTCTCTCTCTCTCTCTCTCTCTCTCTCTATCACTATCTCTATCTCTGTGTGTGTTTGTATCTGTGTTTCTATATAATCCTGGGTGACAATGAGGCACAAAGACATAAAAATATGAAGAAAAGTGACATAAAGTTGCTGAAACATTTTAAAATACTTTTTATTTAAAAGTAAAAGTAATTCCATATCTACATACCATGTATTTTAATCCCTCTGTTTGATTACATCTCTCCCCACTACTCCTATAGTCTTTTTCAACATTGCTCCTACAAAATTTTAAGTTGTCTTATTCCATGACACCTTCTTTCCAAGTTGGGTTAAACATTCATCTTTTAATACTTCTTCACTGGATTAAAACCCTGATCAGATGTTACGCATAGTGATAACTAGGGAAAGGACTTCTTCAGGCAACTGATAGCTTTCATCCAACTATAAACGGCCTCTACTTCTAGATTCAAACTCCTAGTGAGCCAGGCTGCAGTGAGGGCTGGTCCAGGCCAGGTAAGGTCATTTGTCCTTTTCACAACATGAAAAGAACAAAGGGAATAAACAATTCCAAACAGACAAGAATGTCCCAGACATAGAAACCATTCCTTTCCAATGCTGAACTCAAAGTCAAACTTCCAATGCTGCCTACCCTCCTGGCCTCTGCTTACAGATCGAAGCAGGAGTCATCAGCTGCTGAGCCTTACAAACTTGACCTAACCTCATGCCTCAACTCTGAGTTTAATTTACGTAAAAACATCAACTCCCAAAATTCCTCAATGAAGAAATTTTCCAGTTTACCATCTGGAATTTATCCATTTCTTCCCTTTCCCATGATTTCCAAAAATTAAATTTGAAAAAGTATAACATTTAAGACTGGAAAAACAAGAAAGATGTTAACATTTCCCAACTATTTGCTTACTTTAGTGTTTGATCAAACACACTAAAAATACTTATATTTACATATACACAAGTTTATTTAGATGTATTTAAGGACATTTAAAAAGATCATTCAAGATTTTATGTATTTCAAAACAATTTTTATTTATCAAGAGGCTACATTTCCAAAGAGTAACAGAAAAATCTGTCATTAGAGTGAACTCTTCAGAAGACAAAGACCTTGTCTGTCAGTCACATTGTATTTTTAGCACAGTACTTGGCACATTTTAGGTGGTAAAGCACGCCATTAGCTGCATAAATAAATATTCCTTTATAATCGCTGACATTACTTTGCAGTTGGCCAGCTAGGACCTTTACATACCAGCAGCCTTTCCAAATTTCTCCTACATTGACTTATTTTATTTTAATTATGTGTTTTTGTTTGTATCTATGTATGGGTATGTGCAGGTGCCAGCAGAGATCAGAGAGGATGACATCAGATCCCATAGAGTACAGGAGACATGTGGACACTTGTACTCACAGACAGGGAAACCAGGAATGCTAAACACACAGGACTGTCACTTCAAAGAGAGAGATGTAAAACCTGTTAGAGAACAGGACCCACAAGGCTGGAAATGGACTGGTAACACCCTGGTGACCTCTGCAGTATCTATATGGCCAGGTCATGTTGGCTCCCCCATGCCCTCATCCTGAGCCTGTTTACCTTGATCAATCTATACTGCTATCTGCCCCTCAGACCTTAGCATATAGACTATTTACCCTGAGCCTGCTTCCTTAGTTCATTTATAGAACATATCTTTAGGGAGGATGCCACTTGTACTTTACAAGAGTTTCAAAGTAATCATGTCTTACGATTAATTGTGCAAACGGCACTGAGTTATCACAGAAGACTTTTTTACCAAACTGTGTTGTGCTTAAATATTCCTAAAATAAACTATCCAGTGGCAGATTCTCAAAGTTTGATCCGACACCACCCTCTGTCATGTTGAACCATTCTTGCCTCTCATGAGTAGACACTCTACTGGTCACGGTGTTTGCAGAGACCCTATCACCACTGCCACAACAGAGCTGGAGCTGCAGGTAAGTGTGAACTATGTGACTGAGTGCTAGGAACCAAATACCTGTCTTAATCGATCAGCCATCTCTCCACCCTTCCTCCCACCTTTCTTTTCTTTTTAATTAGCTTATTTTTATTCACTTTATATCCTGGTTATAGCCCCATTCCTCCTCCCTTCCCTGTCTCTCCCTCCCTCTCCACTCTCACCTACTCCTCCTTTCTGAATCACTATATTCTCTCAAGCACCAAGTCATCCATCTTGAGAAACTTTTAACATTCTAGTGATGATGTAAACTAAGCATTTACTTTTATGTTTAAGTCAAAGAGGTGATATCCTTTTCCAATCGTAAGAAATCATTTTTATCTTTTATTTAGGTAAAGGAAAGAACTCATTAATTGGCTTTAATTTTCTGTTTTCTTTTGTTTTTTGAGATGAAGTCTCACTCTGCAGCCTTGGCTGTCCTGTAACTCGATGTTGATGTCAACCAGGCGGGCACTGAACTCAGACATCTTTCAGCTTTGCCTCCAGAGTGCTAGGACTAAAGGCATCAACCACCATGTCAGTCCTTGAATTGGTTTAAACTATTTTCCTTTAAAATACTGTTAACTTTACAGAAGAATCGCAAAGATAGCGCAGAGATTTTGCATATTCTTCAAAAAGTTTTTTCCTAAACTAACATGTAACATACTGTGTTACAGTTACCAAAATTAAGATAATCACATATTAGGCTAAAGAGTCTATCCCCACTAAATGTATTTTTTGTTCCAACAACTTATCCATACTGTACTGTATTCAGATGACTTCTTTTCATAGTCTCAGACTGGTC